AGGTGAGGGTCTGATCCACGGAGTGCTGTAGGGCTTAAATTTAGAAGCATGGAACAGTTTGGGCTGGAAGGGACCTTAAAAGCTCATCTAATCCAACCCCCTGCAATGGGCAGGGACATCTTCAACTAGATCAGGCTGCTTAGAACCACATCTAGCCTGGCCTGGAATGTCTCCAGGGATGGGGTGTCCACCACCTCTCTGGGCAACCTGTGCCAGTGTCTCACCACCCTCATGATAACAAATTCCTCCCTCACATCCAGCCTGAATCCCCTTCTTTTAGTTTCAAACCATCATCCCTCATCCTATTCTAATAGGCTTTGCTAAGATATCTCTCTCCATCTTATAGGCTCCTTTCGAGTACTGGAAGGCTGCAATAAGATCTGCCTTGAGTCCCCTCCAGAGCTGGATGCAGGGCTGCAGGGGGGGTCTCAGCAGAGCAGAGGGGCAGAATCGCCTCCCTCGACCTGCTGCTCACAGCCCTTTGCTCCGTCTGCACTTGGGAGTCTCCATCACATCCCATGGGGGATGCTCAAAGCGGATCAAAGGGGTCAGAGCATCCCTGTGTCAGACAGGGAGGAGATGCAGGGAAGTGAATCACAACCTGCTGCAGGGGAGGAGGGGGAGGCGTGTAAAAATAAGCAGCGACAAATTAAAGGGCTAATTAGAGGCGCAGGGATGAGGAGCACTGTGCTGGGGTGCTTAGACTTGGCCAAGGAGCAGTGAGAGCTTCCATCTCATCACTCAGTATCAGGGACATGCTGAGGAAGTGGTTTTGGCATTGGGAAAAGCTCCCAGGGCTGTGGATGGTGCTGGAAATTGGGTTTTAATGGGAGTGGGGTTTGTGGCGGTATGCAGGAGCTGTGGTCTGCCTTTGGCTTGCCTTGTGCTTCCTTAAGGGATGTGAGCATGGAGAACAGTGGGGCTGGGCCTTGGCCATTTGTCACTCCTGCATTATCCCTCGTGGTTCCTGAGGAGCAGAGGTGGAGGAAGGGTCTGTGGGGCTGGTGCAGCCCAGGCAAATAGGGCTGAGAGGCTGCTGGTGCACAGAGACGCTGAGCGGGCAGCCCCTGAGGGGGCTGGAGTGGAACCAGGGATCCCAGGGATCCCAGCACCCCATGCCTGCCCTTGGGAGACACACCGTGCCCGTTACACACAAGCCCATCACGTGGAAGCACCCGCTTCGAGGCAGACTGAGCTTCCTCACCCGGGTTCTCCTTTCCCACAGGAGTAGAATCAGGGAACCCCAGCCTGGTTTGGGTTGAAGGGACCTTAAAGTTCCTCCAGTTCCAACCCCTGCCATGGGCAGGGACACTTTCCACTAGAGCAGGCTGCTCATGGACCTGCCTGGAGCTCTGGCACCCAAAGACATCAACAAAGAGCATCCTTCAGGCCTCTGAACCTGCAGGGAGGGATTTTAAGTGTGTGAGACTCCGGGCTTGAACCAGACATTAGATCCATAAGAACCAGTGCTGCTGCTCTCCCAGGAAAGGTGGCCGGGGGCTGTTGGTTTAAGCCTCGATGGGATTCCAGCAGCACTTGGAGACCTCCCAGGTGCCCGTGCTGGAGCGAGCTGCTTCCCCAGAGCTGCTTCTCTGCCTTTGCATGTCCCAGCCTCCCTGCTGTGTTCATTTCCCATGGGATGCTGCTGTGATTAATCCCTACTCCTAAAACTGATTCCATATAAACCTGACTGATATCAAGCGCGTGCGTCGGGTTCCCTGGAGCAGCTTCCAGCCTGGTGGGTAATTCCTAAGGGTTTATTTCAGTAGTGAGGTAGCTGCTGCGTGTGTCTGCGCTTCCAAAGCTGCTTCAGGCTGGTGGGAAGCAGAATTCGCAGGAATTCCTCCCTGGGGTGTTGCCTGGTTGGGGTGATGCAGCCGGTGCAGACCTGGCCAGGGCCAGGTGCAGTGGGTGTGTGATCCTTTGGGATCCCCAAACCCATCCTGACACAGGATGATGGGACCTACCTCCTGCTCCAGGGAACTGGGGCAGAGATGCTGAGCAGGGAGGGAACAGCAGCCTGCTGGAGTGCTCCCAGTTCACCCCAGTACAGGCAGTGGGGCAGGAGGA